TTATCCACCGAGCATCATCAGTGTTAAAAAATTCCACGTAATTCGCCCTCATTCCATTCCATTACATTTAATAACGTATGTGTGAAAATGGCGTAAATAATAAAATGTGGCTCATGCTAGAGATTGTTTTCAGAGCAGAGCAGAGCCTGCACAAATTTGGAGAAATGGCGGTATAAACAGGGATAAACACAAGGGATATGATATAAAAAAAGCAATTTCGAAATTAGCAGTAGGCGTTCTCGTTGCAAACGGAAGCTTCCATTTAATGCTGCCTGCTAAATAAGTCGTTTCCTGAGATGAGCAGGTTTCCCTACATCCTGGAGTTCACAAATTAGAAAATTTTAGAAATTACGGGTGTGGGGGTGTTGCACCAAGCGGCCACCTATGAAAGGGATAAATGGCTTTTGTTACAATCTTGTAAGATTACGGCTTCTCATTGTCACAGCATGTTCATGTGCATTGTGCTAAGATGTAACTTAGTCCGTCAACAATGTCTAGGGTTGATATATTTTTTTTCCATGGAACTAATAAATCAGATTTTTTTCAAACTTGGATATAGATGCCCAACCTAGAATTCTCTTGGGATTTTATTTCAGTTTTAGACGTTTGATATAGCGTTTTGTGCAACAATCGAAAATTCTATAATTCGTAGAATTGTTTGGATTCGCTTTTAGGACAGGAAAAAAGTTAACTGGATATATTGTTTTTGGAGGAAATAAACTGCTTACAAATCGAACAATGTTTTCCATAATGCCCCCGCATGTGCAGATAATGGAATCAGAATTCTGTATGGTTTGTTCGTCTGGTGAGCACCAGGACCTCTGAAAATCGAGTCTTCACACCAATCTGCTGTCAGATCAACAAATGTTACAGTTGACAAGACAGATAGTACGTTTATCATTATAGAAAACATGTGCGACACATTTTAAATAACAAATAGCAAATATTTTGAAAAAGAAACACGATCTATGGTAGCAATCAATTTACAGTGCAAAGATAACGCGTTTATCAAAACGGACACAATGGTGCAAATCGAAACTCCGGAGCTGTGTAGAAAAGGGGCATTTAAGATGACTTCAAACGAAAAAAAAGCAATGTTTTTCTTGAAACTCCAAGCGTGCCAAGATCGATCAACTTACAAATTACTTGAACTTTAAAATCCTTCCCTGACGTCATGATCTCGGAAATACTCCAAACTCGATCGCTTCGTCGGGAGCATCATTATCACCGAAACGAATGGATAGTCTCTCAGAATTGATTAAATTTTTTCTCAGCTTTCGAATGTACGATTGAGGGGACAATGAAAGTGGCAGTGACAACTCGACGGTATACCAGTGCAGCAAGCCGATTTAACTCCTGCTCAGATTAAACTCAGGTGTAGTTTGGTCTAGGCAAAAATTTACTCCTGGGGACAAACTCTACCCGGGGATGTAAAAGGACAGTTTCTGTGCCAGCATGTTTGTTGGTGCATGTGGACACAATGTAAATTCACAATGTAAAGGACGTAATCGTCCGAGGTTATGCTTCCCACGATCCAACCAGCCGAAACTTTTTCAGTTTTATTGACACCATTGAATTACAGCTTCAAACGCAAATTGTCAGGGGTAAAACGCTGCTGTGAGGTTTATCGTTTCAACTTGAAAGTGACCTCTTGAAAAACGTTTAATTCAAGTATGTGACAAGCTTGGCAAGCTTTCGTAGATCGTCTAGTGGAATAGTTCCATTCTGTCCAATTTCAAAGCATGACCTAAACAATAACCACTAAATAACTAAAATTTGATAAGAGACTCTAAAAGCCAGGGAAAATGTTTTTTTTTCACTAGATGGCGCACGTGGTCCAGAAATGGCGTGGGTTTAATGGACCTACGTTACAGAACTTACATCTACACTTCATTCGGTACCCAGGAAGTTGGAGGAAAAATACAATCAAGCACGAGGTTGTCTCCCCCACCCAACACTTACAAAAATTCAGAGGAAAAAACGTCTGAGTAAAGCAAATATGGATTATTGGATAACGGGCCGCCCATCCGGGGGGTGGAGGGATCAAAGAGAAAATGACGTGGGGCTACATAATTATTGGTCAACTTGTTCGATATCTTAAAGCAATTAGTTTTTCTTCATTTTTTATATATATTTTTTATTTTAGATCCGATATAGATGTCATGGCATGGCGTCCAATGTCCAATACATGAGTTCGCCAAGAAATATGGAGTTTCTTAAGCGGTGGACTTAAATATTTGAGTGGTAACAGTAGGTTCAAGACGAGAACAATGATGTAACTCCAGGTGACTGCGGCAGTCTGACGGTTTCATGTTAAACCTTATTAATGCCTGTATTTCATTTGTTCAAAACCAAGGCTCATTTAATATCTTTCACCACTTCATTTCCACGTGTTACTTTACTGCTTGTGCTCTGTGCTTAGAGAAAAAAAGGGAATGAAGATAATTATTGCGTAGGAAAACGTAGGTCTCTTTGGCAAGGATAATAAAAAAGCGTAGGATTAAGAGCACCGTCAATTCTTTACTTCACCTGTACTTGGCAGCATATTATTCTGACGATATTATTATCCTCAAGTCTTGTCTGAAAGCTGTTAATAAAGATGTTAGTAAATAAGCTTTCTCGAATGCATTTGGCCGTGTGACACATAAGACTATGCTTGTACGACAGTTTTTGTTGCTCCCAGGAAATAAAAAAATAATTTTTTGTTGTTTGATAACCATGTTGCTTTTAGTAGCGATGGAGAGGGTCACCTTGGCAACCTATGAACAAATTAGCCTTCTCGAGTAATGCTTAGTTATGCATGTAGCAAAATAATAAAGCAATAATGTAATTGTTTTTTTTGTTCTCTATTTTTAGATAGGCTTTCTTTCGGTTTTCTTTTGTAACCATCTGTTCGAAAGACACGCTTGGCCTTTTTTCAAATCAATTCTTAGAAAAAATAAAATCGATGAATTAGTGAAAGCACTTGCTTTTGCTATTTGAAGAAGGAAACTTACAATATTCTTTAAGTAGTCATCTATAATACATGTACCAACGACCAGAATTCATTATACAAAACCAATCTTACGAAACACTTAATTCGTAAAATAATCATAGACCAATATCTTGTAACTTCAGGTTCAAGTCACGATTCCCGTCATAATACTTAATTATGCAATTAACAAAATACTCTTTGGGGCTCTTTGCTAGTGTATCATCACCGTGGGAATAATAAATCACCTAAAATTTTATATGACATGATAACATGAAGGAACAATGGTATTTTCTAATTTCATGTCGATACTGTCAAAATATTTTGTATTTATTCAGTTGTTCCTTTCTTAAACAAATATTAGTAGGCCTTTGGGCACGATAACGGGCAGCCGTAATCAAAATACTTTGACTAAAAACTAAAACAGTTCGTTTAAAAGCGTTTAGAGCACAGTCGCCCTTGTACGAACATATATTTTATCAACGGAGAGCCCTTCCGCAGGCACATAGGGCACTTTAAGAACAAGTTGATCCGCAGACTACGGCGTATCAACTATGGATCAAATATGACCGACCCATTTAAAAGCAATGCCGCCAAATCCCCTAATGGACTCCCTGCCTCACTTTTCAATGCAAAACGCAGTGAGGGAATCTCAAGTCACCATCAGTTTACCATCTCTCCAACCTATTTTTTATCACCTGTTTATGCAATGGACCTACCGCAAGTACCGACAATTTTTTATGAAAATAAGCATATCCATTAGACTCTGAGTGTCAAAATATAACTCCAGTAACTTACGTTAATTTACCATACTAGTAAACACCTTAACAATTATGGTCTTATGCCTAGCAACGTGCTTTATACACCTCTTCCCGGACAGCTGCGTTCTAGATATTTTTTGCAAGGTTCATTTGTCTGCTTACGCATTTTGGCTCACTGCTGGTTTTGGTATTTTTTTTTCTCACGTGATCATGCTTTTTTGTGGGGGTTTTTTTGAATTTTGAGGGTCTCCATGTATCAAAATGTCAAGACAAACGTCTTCCTTAACCGCAATCTGCAAACGTGGAAATATCTCCATAGGTAGCACATCAATAAAAAGTTGATGCGTGCCTCAAGACCGACGTCTATTTTTTCCTCACCCTGGACCATCATTTCTCTTTTGATGTTTCATGGGCAGATTTTTTTCCAGGTTGCAGTCTCGGAATGAATATACATGCATTTTTAACAACCGTCATCGAAATAAAAAATTCAACTTCTTCTGTCCTTAGAAATACGCACATGTAGTGTCAAGCAAATAGTCAACGCTTCAACACTACCATGTACAGAAACTGATGTTGGTTGTCGGTCTTTTTCGTCGATTTCCCTTCCCTTTCTATTTTCGACCCAAACTCAAAACTGTGCATAGCAGGCTTTGCTGACTTGCCATTCAAACCAGCCAGTATCACACCGTTTGCAATAAGAAGAGTGCACCTCAGGAGATTTTTCTTGGGCTAATGAGTGTATAAAACCCCCGAGCAATCAAGGGATAAGTGCAAGAGATTTAGAGCCCAAATCACATTGGTATTCTATTGTTTCCAAGACCATGGGATTTTAGCCTATACATGCACTGAGTAAATCCCACTAAAACGTGCTTCTCTGAAGCTTTAACTTGGTTGCGTCTTTTAAGTTAATCAATCAAGCCTTTATTTGAAATTTGAAAAACGTGACTTAAAACTAAGCAAACCTCAGTTGTACCTAGGTATTCAGAAATGATTTCAGAAAAAACAAATGTATGAACTAGGTTTTAAAGTAAATCCCCAGTTTAAAATTGGTTTTTAGAAAAAAAAAAAAAAACATATTGAGTGGAATTACACACATCAATGGACACTCCTATTCTTTATCCAAAGAAATATTCTTCATCACAACCTCCAGTGAAATAATTTTTCAAGTTTTCCCACTTACAGCAGGCAATAACTTCTTTCCTTCACGAAAAAAAAAAAAAAAAATTAACATCAATCTTCTTTTGTTAAAATTTTAATAGCATTGCTTGGTAAATTTAATGTACATTTACATAGTAACAAATATTTGTAAAACCACACTTTCAACAAAAATTGCATTTCTGTTACATAAATGGTGCAATAAGTAATATAATCTCCATAAATCTGTTTTAAATGTGTATACAAAATCAGACTTCAAAACCCGACATTAACTTGCATTGAAAAATTTACAAGATAAACTCATATCAAGTCTGGATTCCTAAACACAACTATGACAATGTCAATTGAAAACCTTTATATATGCCTGGCACATGTTCAAGTTCATTTTAAAGTTCCATTAAAAATGGTCAAGATAAACTTCAAAACTGTAGAGATCTTTCTACTGCTAAATTTCCATCTTCCTCTCCAACTGGCCTACATGACTTCTCAGTGATCCAGGTGCTTTTATCATGTAACCCCCCCCCCTTGCATAACACTCTTCATGCTGTTAACTATTATCACCAAACCATAATAAGTTGGATGGCCTTTTCTTTTATACAGGCATGTGTACTGCTGCAAAGCTATCATCCAAAACCTAACCAGCTTCAATCTAAGCTTGTCTTGGAATGCATGCAGCCTCTTGTGTAGAGTCAAATTCTTGTATTGCTCACACTATACAACTGAATAAAGATTATAACACTAGAGCTCCCAAGACATGTTTCTATCTATCATTGTCCTTACAGCATACAGGGAAATCATATACATAGCTTTCAAATGTACAATTTCTAGACTTGAAAAATATAATTTACTTAGTTATCTATTCCTGCTGAGGTCTAAAATATTTTCAAATAATGACACATCAAAAATGCCCGCCTTTAAAATTAACATGCATCTGTGACAAAGAAGAGAATATAATTCATGGATATATTCAACAACTGGTATATTCTGCAAACAGTATTCCATAAATTAATGCTAACAGTAATGGTAAACTTTCAATATGGGATTTCCAGACCTCACACAACAGCAAGTGGTATTTGACATGCTAATCTTTATTTCCTCTAACTTAATCCAACTTAACAAATTATCACTTTTTGAATTTTTTTCACAAACACATCACATCACAATCAAATGTGCATCTTGCTCTGTTCCCCATCTCACAAAAGAACTTAGGTTGAATTTCTATTGCAGCCAAGCACAGCCAAGTTGTGTTTAACAAGAACATAAATGAAAGCCTACCTTTTTTAACCTTATATCAATATTGCATTGTATTGACAGTTGACAATGATGGTGACAAAAGCCTTCTCAGGTACATCCATTGCTTGTGAAAACACTTAGATTAATATTGCATATCTGACTCAGCAGAGTCCAAATAAGCAATAAATTGACTGCATTATCTCATGTATGACCGGCTTAACTAAGAAAAAAATGTAATCACTTTTATCGGGACCTCCTACTTATGTTGCTATAATAGTCTGTGCATATACCTTCATCATAGTTTTTCTCTCAAACCCACGTAAAAAGAAATCAATGATGTCCATCACTGTTGTTGAGTTTTAATGTGATCTTGCTTGTTTGTCCGATTCTCTGATCTCCATTCAATTTCTGTAAAAAACAAAAATGAAATGCTACTTGAATGCACCTACTGACAACAACATCAGACTGGTCACAAATGCTTGAAATGCCAGTGGACCTGCAAGATTTTTGATACTGCAGGTCCTATGGACTGGCAAGGTTTATTTGAAAATACAATACATAATAATACATTGCAAGTAAACACAGACTTAGAAAAACAGAATACTAAGTTTGGACCAGCACAGAATTGGGAGAACCTGCAGACTTCTTGTATAACAGGTCCTTGTTATATATATATATATATATATATATATATATATATATTGTTATATTTATGTTATATATATAAATATATATATATATATATATTTATATATATAACATAAATATAACAATATTTATGTTATATATATAAATATATATATATATATTGGACCCTCAGTATCTCCACAGATTTCCCCATGCCTGCAACATGGACTGTTTAGTAATAAGTGGAAGAGTTCTATTTAATATTAGCTTTCAGTACACATAAAGAAGATTTAAAGCTGTGTGTGATGACTGACAACGTATAATTATGTAACCAGTTACTACTGTAACGTAATGACTTTTCTAGTCTGGAAGATGCTATTAGCAACATAATACAAATCTTTCTCTCTCCCTCTTTTTATTTCAAGGTAGAGAAGGTAGAGGTACAGACAAATTAAAAAAAAGGTCTAAAACCCCTTTAGGGAATGAACCATATTAAAAAGGATTTCACATTGAAAAACTACCCTTTGCTTTGGGAACTTCAAACCTTTGGCATCTTTAAAACGAACATCTCTATAATCAAACAACTTACAAATGTCACTGAATTTTATCATCCATATCACATCAGCATATATCTATATGTATCCCCTTGCTTCATTACACATACATGCACAGGTGCTGGCACATATTCACACCTAACCAAACAGCTTTCAATATAATTATCAATAAACCCGTTCTTAACAGATGACACACCTGTCGGTAAAAAATGGAAAAAATACCCTTTTGTGTTGATGAAAACCTGGAAACTAGGTGCTAATACCTCTTGCACAGGTTGTTTCAAATTGAAAGAAATTCTACTGTAAAATGTATAAAGGGATGAATTCCTAGTTCTGTTTTATGGTTATGAAAGTTTGCATGTCATAACACATAAAACACATCTGAGGTTGTAGAAAACCTCACAAAGGTGTCAACTGCGTGAGATGAACATTAGATAACCTCAAAACGCAATAGCTGTAATAAATTGGGTGAAAAAAACTACCAAATTATACAAGAGGATATGTAACCTGGCAATAGTTGCCTCAATGAAAAAAAAACTGTTACCCATTATGACAAAACAGTTGTGAAATTACACCTTGAACAGATGCTTTTTGATATATCTAAATTTGCTCTTGCAAAGGTTATAAGCAGTCAGTCTGTTGGCAACAGTGCCATGTATCTTTATAAAGAGAAGAAATAATAGTTGATCTTTTCCCTAGGTTGTCATTCCAAGGCCCTTTGACAATGACAAAGTTAAACAACTTGTATTATTTATTATGATTTATGGTGCTTAGGGTGCAATGTATAATTTAGGAGTATATTGTGAATTCATATCACAACTGAATTAACTAAATTCATTGCTTTGTTAATGCATCATAAAATATAATGAAGAATATTTCATGTCTGCAGGAAAAAGCTCCTAAATTGACGATATTGTTAATGTTATGTGTCATGCAAACATTCTGCATTGTATGCTTATACATTTCCTCAATTCTGTCCATTTCATTTAACACCAAAGCTGTACTAAAAAAACAACTCAAATATACCCACATTCACTTATCAGATTTTCCAATTAAACTAAAAAATAGGAATTCCTATTAAAAAAAATCCTCCATCCATCATTTAAAAACAGACAACATAAAAAAAATTAAGGTCATATATATATATATATATATATATATATATATATATGGTGGATCTCTCATATAATTATATGCACAAAGTAACCATTAGAAATGAAAAAAACTTGGCTTCATTTGTTTCGACAAGAACCTTTCCAAATTATATCAGATATACAAGAAACATGAGTGGAATTTGATTCATGCAGAAGATCTTACTTGGGATAAGTGGTAGAAAGTATACTCCAGAATATGTTCTACTAAATATATAACACAAAATATTAAGTAAAAATACAAGGTAATTGATAGCTGATCTATTAATTAACATACCAATTTACTTAGTAAAAATCTTCTTCTCCTTCTTCTGTTTTTCCTTCTGTGTTCTGATTTTTTATTTGCTGCTGGTTTCTATACAGTTCAGAAACCTAAATAAAAAATAAGAAAAAAAAATTGACGATTCCAATGGAGATGGCTTTGGGCATTCAAACATTAATAACCTTAAGCTTGTAACATATTGTGGATACATGCTTATTTGCTTGAAGTAATAATCCACAGTTGCAGCTTGCAAAAATCTACTGAACAGCTCTTGAATTAATGAAAAATACATGGCTTTAATATGTGGTCCAAAGAAGAATCAAACTACTAAATAGCCAATGTAACAAAGATATCTCACACAGGATTTATAACATCTGTTATTTATACAGTATATTTTGCAAACCAGCTTCATCCTGCCAAACAAACTTAGTCTTAAAAATTCAGCTATATGCCATTATATTTGTGCATATCTTTTATGTGGGACACATTAGACAAAATGTTGCACATTATAATTTACCAGTATGCAGCATTGTAAATATAAAAATAAAAGCCAGTGCCATGTGGGGCACCCTACCTAAATGTAGTCTGAATACCATTTTATATGCTGTAAATTATCATTTCAACCTTTCAAAGAATGCAGTGCCTTTGAATTAACTATCAATGTTGAAAACATTCTTGTGTGTTATAATATATTTGTGTTCAAAATGATATAAATGTGATTCTCTTCAGCTGCTGTAAATTTTTACATCAGGATGCAGAGCTTGGTTTCTTGTACTTCACATTCTAGTGCAGAACAATTTATATACAAATCAAAATGCCATGCCAAGTAACATGTATAAAATAATGAAATATTTTAATTTTTCTTTTACTTTTTTTTTTGGGGGGGGGGGGGGGGGGTTGGGGGCTTAATTATATATTTGGAGATTGATAAGAATTCCATTGTACACATAACTGGCAAAACAGGAGTATATATTCTTTAGGTCAAATTTTTCAACAAACTGATGGATTAAAAAAAAAATATTATGTACCTGGTTACTAGATGTGGCCTCCTCTGGCTTTTTGTCATCCCGAATTCTCAAGAATCGAGGAAAGCGAAGAGAGATTCCCTTCTCTGGGTCAACCTTTGGTTAAATGTATAAAACAATGTAACATATTTCGGTTAATTTGTCTTCTTCATTATTCACATTTATGAATGGGACTTGCACTTTAAAACTCACATAAAAAGTCATGCCATAAGAATATTACAGTAGTAGTAATTAACTGATATTGAACTGAAACACACATGTCCCAAAATATCAAAACTATCTACTTTTCCTTTCACCTTCCATATTCATGCCACTGACAGAACAGTGAAATGTCTGATAATATTCAAACCTAGCCTCAGAAGTTCAGATTTTCAGACAGTTTCTTGAATTTTATAAATGCCCCATTACAAAAAAAGTTCCGTACCAAGCCTGCAGCAGCAGAGTGGACAGGTGAGATGGACAGGTCAGCGGCCTTGACCTCCCAGACTTGGACAGCATCAAACCAGTGGTCAGGGTCAAGGCTACTGTCACAGCGGTAATATGACCGGGGCTTGTCTATTACATGCTGCTTTAAAGAAGCATTGTGTTGGTCCAGGTCATCATCTTTAAACCCAGTACCAATCTGCAAAATATGAGGATAATGTCATTTTCAAGGAAACCTACTGCTCAAGGAAACATTTGTAGGAAACATTTGTATAATTGGATTCAAATCAAGTTTAGTTCAGGGTTCCAAAATCTATTGGTTCAATATAAATACAAGTAGCAGAATACATATTGCCTTTAAACAAATCAATTTAAAGATGCTGGTTTAGAGTACTGTAGGAAAAACAGATAGATAATAGAAAAAAAAATCTTAAAATTTCAGGATATTTCACACCAGTTGTTTATCTGAAATGCAGATTTATATATGTACTCCTTTGATTTTAAAAGATCTCTGAGACATAAATGCTAACTCACTTTACAAATAGTTTGATATTCTTCATTTTCCTCATCATAGCAAGCCAACAAGAATCCACCATATTTTCCTGCTCTTTTCCCAGTGCCATGGTAGCCTCCTATAACTACCAGATCCAGAGTGTCCCCAACTCCCTCTAAATAATCCTTCTTTAACTGAAATAACAAAAATTATCACTTTAAAATCAACCAAAAATATTCAATTAAGATTTAATGATCATCAAATATGTACTGTTTAAGATCTTGTTTCATTATATTTGTGTCCACACACATTATAAGAATCGCAATGCAAATGCCACTATTCTATCAGTTATAAAGGTACATGTTCACTTTTACATAAATTTCTAATTTTGAAACATTTAATAGACAGCAAATCTATCTCCACCATAAATAATTGTAATTCTCTGACCAGATAAATACCTTCAGCCAATTATGGGAACGCTTGGCAATTTCATAAGTAGCATCTACATCTAGTGTTTTTACCATAAGTCCTTCACAGTTTCCTGGGTAAAAAGGATGTAATTATAGACAGCAAATGAAGCACAACACCTCTGTGATTAAAGTAGAAGATTAATGGAAAAAGGCTTCAGAAAGAACATCAGTGCATTCATGTGGGGCTAAGACGCCACGTACGAAATATGAAATGATTAAAAATTATTGACAATCTTGAAGATGCTTCTTTCCCTCTCCCTTAATGAACAAAATCCTATACCTTTTATAGACTCTTCCAGAAATTCTCCTATTTGGTCAGTATCTTTGGAATCTAAATGAGTGGCAAACATGAATTCCCCTTCGACTTCTTTGAATGATTGGTGCAACAGCTCTCTCCGTCTGCTAAATGGTTCCTTCACCAAGGACTCTCCATTGAGGTAGAGAAGGTCAAATGCATAGACACACACTTGGACTTTGATTTCTGAGGCATCTGCATCCTAAAGTAATATTTTAGATTTTATGATCGGTTTCTTTTTTTGAATATGTCTGAATATGTCGCATTATGAAAAAACATTAAATTGTCAGTGATTCTTTAACATTTAAAGGTACATACGAACCGAGCATCGACAGAGCGTGGATTCCCAGTAACACATGTAAACCACTTCTACTAGATTTTTATACGACTCAAATAAATTGGACATGCCAAGGGATAAACTGAATAGATCACTCGATCAGTCATAAAAGAGCTTTAGACTGCTCCTTTCTTTAAATTTTTGGTCGGAAATTTAACCTACTTTCGTGACCTACGTATCTGCCCCATTGACATACAGCAGAAAAATCCGTTCAAACATCATTTTCGGGTAAAATTAAGCAATGCCTTTTGGTAATTCTTTTAGTTATACTACTTGAAACTATATGCTGGCATTTGGTCGTTTTTTTTGTGGCAAATAATTGACTTTGAATGCATCTTTAACTGCTCATTCTTGATAAAAATGTTTCCACCAATTTATATAAATCAGTATAGATTAAGTCTTCTTAGCATGAATATCTGAAGTAAGATCAAACAAAAGACCATTGGCGGATAAACCATGTCTGACACATTACCTTTCTCTTTCTGGTACTGAGAACTTGGAATGGTAAAATACTTTTTTTCTCCTGGTCCCATGCCACTGCCTCACTGTCCAGTATACATGTCTGGACACTGGGCAGCATACAGGACTTCATGCGGCCTATTATATCTGGATACTTGGATGTATTGTCCTCAGAATTCCTGCTGTAAATGTTTATTTCACCTCCCTCTCGGACATGAATCTGGTAAAAAAAAAAGATAATAGTGTGCAAAACAGCTTGGCAAATAATATGTAAATTCATTTGAGAAATAGAATGATAAAAAAATTGACATTTATTGAAACATAATAATCTAACCAGACAAAAAATGCTAATTTAATATCTATCAATTTACTTTCAGTTTCAATCTGGCTTTTACCTTGGTTTGAAAAGTGAGTTACATATGATAGGAAGTAAGTTAAATCAAGGTTTTAGGAGATAAAAAAAGACTAAAACCACAAATTAATTTAACCTAGGCTACGTTCACAACCAAGTTGATCTGCAGACTAACTGATCCTTGGATCAAATATGGCGCAACCCAATTGTAAGCATGCTACATATTCTCCTAATGATTTAAAGATTAAATTGCTCTGCCGCTGCAGGGATGGTGCATGTGGGAGAAGGGGCATCCATTAAGAAATTATGTGGCATGCTTTCAAGTCCGTGTCATATTTGATCCACGGATCAGTTAGTCAGCAGTTCAACTTCATTGTAGATGCAGCCTTTGATGTTCTTATCAATGTTTAATGTGTGAACCAGAATCTTAAATGAGAGATAGAGAGAACAATTTGTCCTACTTCGTCCTACTGTTTTTCAAAACATTCAACTCAAAATAGAACTCCAGAGAAATAAATAAAAAATCATAATAATGGTTAAAAAAAACACACACAACAAACACACCTGAGCTCTTTCTCCATCATATTTATATTCACAAGTGAAGGCAGCTTCTTCAAACCTTCTGAACACTTCACTCACTCCCTTAGTTGGATGAGCCAACATAGGTTTTAAAGGTATACCTAAAATGAAAAATATGGATGATTTAATTACGTGATGAGGCAAGCCTTTTCTTAAATACAAAATGCACAGCTATACAAAATTTGAAATTGAAGCTTCTACGTGCTATACCTACTTTTCTTTAAACTTCTAAATCAATCATAGTCTAAATACCTGGTGTAAGTTTACAGTGTTTAGGCAGTTCTTCCAGTCCTTCTTTCAGTAGTACTGGGATGATTTTATCATATGTTGGACATTCACTGAAATTTGTCAATAAAGCGTTCAAGTAAGTAACACAGACTTTCTTTTGAAAATGTTTGTAAATGTACAAGTAAATTGTAGGAACCAAAGCCTTGGTTTAATCACAATTTCAGATTTTGGAAAAAAAAAGATGAATAAAAAGTTACAGAGTGAAGGAAAAAAAGAGTACCAGTATGTTGTTTTGATAATCAATGCAGCATCATCCATCTTTTTCTTAAATTTTTCTGCTGAAATGCCATTACTTGCATCTAAGATTTCTGGGGGATATTCTGAAAAGGTAAAGAATGGAATTTTATAAAAAATGTTTTTTGGGGGAAAACCTGATTTGCAAGCACATTTTAGAAAATAAACTCAGTCTATTCAATATCAATTTTCTAACATATGTAATGTATTTACAAAATAATATGTTAAACAGAGCTACTTTAAAAACAATCATCACAATAAGACCACAAACATGAATTTAACTCTGGATTGGCAACATAACATACCTGACATAAAGATCTATGATTAGCGTATTACCAGTAATAGAAAAATAACATCTTACATCTGAAAAAGAAGGAAGCTAAAAAAAAAAAAATGGACAGAATATATCTAAAAGCACAGAGCTAGCAACCCTGCTTATCTTGGCTGTCCTCAAGTTACCTTGCCCTGGTGGTGTCAGCACTACAGCATGAGCCAGCGCCACCAGCACAGACTGCTCCGCCAAACCAATTCGTAATTTGCCTCCGAGTGACCTGATCAAATAACGGGCCTCGGAGAAACGGCAGGCAACAAACATCCCCTTGATTTTGTCTATCTTTTTGGACATGACCTAAAATTTTGGTGAGAAGATGTGGGTAAAAAACAATATGCACCAACAAAGCTTTGATTTTTTTTCATTTTTCTAGACTTAATAAGTTTGTCTTTTTTAACCAGATTTAAGTAACTTAGAATCATGGCAGTAGCTCCCCAATTCATACTACATATTTTTATCCTGAACTAAAAGCTAATAATTGTAATATTTATTGGCCGAGACACAAAGTTCAGCTTGCCAACCACAAAATCTTTCAAATGCTATATTATTAATAAACCATATGCATTATCCTTACGTGCCAAAGGTTTCATATGATACACAAATATCAATTATATATAACACACTGATAAAAATAAGGAGCCCACTCAGTTTTATCTGAGTACCCTGGGAATCATATCCTGCTATGATCACATTTAACACGAGTCTCAGACCAGATTATACAAATACAAATGTTGTGAAAAATGACTAACTTAGACAAAAAGAAAATGAGAAGCAAACACTAATTTTATTACCACTTTCTCTCTGATTCTGAGAAAAATAAGTCATGCCTAAATGAAATGTGACAAAGCAACACAACTGCCTCCCAACACTTACTGAGTTACCAGACATGGTGGCAATTTCTTTCAGTCTAGTAAACACAGTTGACGCCATCAACTTTGCTGGTGCAAACATTGTCCTCTGGTTACTGCGACTTGCCTTAAAAATGAAACCAAGTGCTACTGGTTTTATCAAATACTTCACACAATCAATAGTGCTATTTGAGTAAAAGGGCAAATCTTACACTCTTTTGGTTCTTGCCAAATAAAGAAGACCTCTTACTTCTTCAAGCTAGAGAATATTTTAAAAATTCTTTTTAACAAGATGAGAAAACAACTATGGGTACCTAAGGTCCTTACATAAATAAATAGGTAGGAAAATTAATCTATTGTCTTGTTGTCATAATGCTCCATGATAGAGAGCACATTTCTGAATCTCACCTATCACATTTTAAAACCTACCTCAGCAACAATTCCCAAGTCTCCCTTTTCTTGTGCATCAGCTTTAACTTTGTCTACACCTCTGCCTAAAACACAGAAAATTATTGATTGATAAATATATCTCTGAAACATGATTTAGTATGTGATAATATGCCTCATCATAGCATAAACTTAGATACCTTTTTTAAATTTAAATTTATTCTTTTTTTTTTTAATAAAAAAAATTTAAGTCTGTTTTTCAGTATGCAAGGCGAGTTGTGGTCTTCATTGGGGGGAAGTGATGTAATAAATCAACATATTATCAAATTAAACCCTTCTCACCTGTGGCTTGGGCAATAGCTTTCATGAGGACAGTTTCTCCAATTCCCAACTCCACCCCTTCATAAGCAGGGGCTAACTTATTCAGGCACAGATATAAACATGGAAGAAGATCGTCAGGAGACAGGACTATGACAGAACGGAAGAAGTTTGCAAGAATCTCGACAATTTTCAATCTGGCTGTAATACTTTCAATTGCTTGGAATGTCTTGGCACAAGCCAAATATGGAACCCTGAAACCACATAGTGATATTCATATAAACACACAAACATAAAATACTCTGAAGTCTCAAAAGTTAAAATAGATCTAAAGCTTGAACTTGCCAGTTTTAAAAGAAATATCCTGAAGAATTTGCTTTAAGCAAAGTTTTTTTCAATCCCACATCTAGATAAATAGAATCATTATGAATGCTAATATTTTCTATCAATTTTAATTTCTAATTTATTCCAAATACAACTTGTGTTGAACATTCAATATTTTATCTTTTACTGATATTTCATTTTACAAAAGAGTTTAAGAGATACCATACTTTTCTCCTTTCTTCCAGAAGGCATCATTGATGGGATGATAATTGGGCTTGCTGGGGTCATAGTTACTGCCATCCCCTGCACTCTTGTCTCCAAACCCAGCAAAGCCACTGAAGTGGAAACAGTGCAACTGGTTAAAGGTATACGTACTATACAGAATTTCCCACCGAATCAAAATTTTCTTTAGAAATTATTAGAAGATTATATAATAATAATAATAATAATAATAATAATAATAATAATAATAATAATAATAATAATAATAATAATAATAATAATAATAATAATAATAATAATAATAAATTATTATTTAGTTCATAATGACTGGCCAGTCACTTTGACTGCCTTGTCTTCCTGTACATTTCACAGGAAAAGATCTAGATCAGGTAATTTAATTAGGGGCATATTATCCATGATCGAAATGTCCTAGGTAATATTTGCTATCTCTACACAGAAACTAAGCTTTTCAAATTCAGACCTTAAAAAAAAAAGTTTTTTTTTTTAGAAATATTCAATTTGGCAGAAAAATCTCTGCTAGGAAACCTTCAAATAATTCCAAATATAACGTGTCTCCTTTTATTTGCTGTAAGAACAGTTCTGTTTTTCAACCCCTAATTAAATGAATCACTAAAAATGCTCATCACAACTTGTTTATGTCAACATGATCATTTGGTTGTTATTTAGCACAATTTTTTTACTCTTTTTAAAAAAGAAAAAAAAAAGGTATCAAATCACTGTCATGTAATGTCATGATAATATAATAATCTCACTTAAATAAAGCAAAACATTTGGATGTTGCTGTGTAAGTTAAAAAGAGCAATTATGAATCATCAATAATCAATCAAACGTAATCTGACATTTTAGCTACCTGAGCAAACATATATTAACATGTCTTCTCATATATTAGTGAAAGCAAATTTGCAAAACTTTCATCCAAATTGACAAGAACAAAATTTAACAAAACCAATAATCTAAATAAATTGACTTGCTTTATACATGGTGGCATGTTAGTTAAAAGTTGAATGCTAACATTTCAGGTATCAAGTGAAAAAAATTTTTTTCTCAGCTACAAATATTTTTTCAACCTGCTGCAGCAAGCAAGCCAAATTCTGATCTGTAAATCCATCATAAATAGCCTGCCACAGAAAGTCTACCAGTAACAAATAGGCATAACCTCAAAATTCTTCCCTGTAAGGCTGCTGCCTTATAATTTCCTGTCTGCTCTTTATTCTGTACAATGCACCCCTGTGTCAGGACCAAGACCATTCTTCACACACACTTATTGTTGAAGGAGATGTACAGTGACATTCAATTTTCCATTTTCTGATCAACACAAAAAGAGCTAGCAACAAATCTGAAGGCGTGGATAGCTCACTCTAATGAAAAAATTGTCTCCCCCCAGTGTACCCATTTAGTAAATTTGAGCCTTTCATGAAAAGCCCTCTTATCAAGTTGATTAACCTTACACCACCATTCATATCGAAAGTAAAGAAAATCCACTTAGCACTTTAATGACTACTTCATTTACTCTCTGTCACTTATGTCAACAAAGCAAACTGTCCTTACAGCATGTAAAATGTGTTTACTGTTCAGAAGTGTTTGTTAATATTTATGGAGGCAATTGATCAACACCTTTCTCCACCAAGTTTTCGTTTTTCAGGTGACTAGCTGTCTGACCTTGGTGTGTTCGGCAGTGAGCGCCTTCTGTTCAACTCTTAGCACGTTCCAAGTGCATTTTATTTGTATTGTTGCCTTCACTTAGTGCCTAGTTCTTCACTGAGCAGCCAAACTTCAGAAATCACCAGTAAATAACCTTTAACATTTTTAATATTCATTAAAAACATAAAAAATATTTTTATATATCAAAATTTCACCAACATTCTACGATCTATTTTTTTTTTCAAACCTGATTCGTAGTGTTTAATCTTTCACTTGAATAGTTTTAAAAGAAATAACTGAAATGCTACGTATAGGGTTGAAAATACACAGGGTGGAACCACTTTCACTGTGATTTACAATACCTGAAAAAGAAAAATGTCAAAGGAATAAGATAAAGCTTTTTAACTGGAGTTTACTTTTCCATCAGAGATTCTAGACGATTTCAAGTAGTATCAAATGAAGATTTAACCTGACTTTACAGTAAGTACATCTAGCATTTAACTTGGGTCAATTTTTGGGCATGTTATAAACTGGAAGTTTTGATTGACAAGATCTGTCCCTTAAGTATGGGAGCTTCAGACTATAGCAGCATAAAAAGATCCCAGCTGACAGGCACAAAATATCTCAATTTTCATCTCAACAGTTTTCATCAAAGCCAATGTGTGACATGTCACTATCCCAGTAAGCGACATTATTTCAGACAATTTGACCTTCCATCACAAAAACCACCTTTTCAAAAAGTTCAATCTTCTAAGAGGATAAAACTTCATTCAGAAGAGTTGAAATGTCAATCATGAAATGCATGAAGTGAATTGTTTGAGGCAGTAAACTGTTTAGCATAACTAAAGACTTCATGGTGTATAAGCATTACTGAATCTATTCTCATTCTCCGATATTAAGTAATAAAGCCATCTCAGTTTCACCACCACAAGTTCATTACATTACATAGGGGATTAACTATAGAAATTAGAAGAATATATCTCACTAAAATGAAAATACTGTGATAGCCCTATTAAAGACCTGTACATTTTGCCTCTTGGGCAAATTACACAAGAATCATTGTGGGCATTAAATTAATACTGAATTGTATCCAAAAACAGTTTAGTAGCAGGGGGAACAAAATTTAATGTAGATGGGTAATTTCACGAGCTGGCTAAGAAATTAGATACTGTTAATCACTCATCAGGAAAATGAAGTACATCCATTGATAGCTTATAGTGTCTTCATAAGGATAACTACTTAAAATTTTCTTCAATCTATCCATTTTTTTTTTTTTGGGGGGGGGGGGGGGGGGCAGGGGGGGGGGGGGGCCAAAAAGGCGGAA